CAGAGGGGTCAGAAGTTCCTGAGGGCTGTGGGCTGAGATCCACTGCTCCAGTGCGTGGGGGATCATCCCGCCGCTGCGGGATCCCTCCTGGAGTCCCGCTATTATAACAGGATCATGACTCAAATATTTTAGTTGGCAGTTCTGCGTTTGTTCTGTTAGGGAAGGGTGGTACTACTGGTATTTCTGCTGCTGGTTTTTGTTTAGTTTTGTTTTTTTGTCTTCAGAAAACAGGCTAAAGTAGTAAGGGATGAGCGACAACATGGTGTTCTGCCATGGGGTGCTGGATGTAGGTTGCCAGAGGACACGATATAACAATTGTGTGTACTGCAGCATTAAAATATTAATCTTGGTGATCACAGAGCCAGCCCCAGCTGGGAACTTTATAAGCCCTGGACCGATTTGCCCATTGCTATACTACTCACTTTGCACCTTTAAGGGCAGGGTAGAATTAATGGGTGTGATGTTTCTAACTGCACTTTCAAAAAACCATACGTTGAATCTCTGAAATATTTTATTTCTTTAATAATGATTTAACTTTTCCTTAGGCTACAATGAGGCTTTGTTTTCTTGTTTTGTAAAGGTAGGGGGTATGTTTATGCTGCTGAGGAATAAATGTCTTGTCTATTTTCAGTTACAGCCAGTACCAACGAATGCTGAGTACTTTATCACAGTGTGAATTTTCAATGGGAAAAACTCTTCTGGTGTACGATATGAACCTGAGAGAAATGGAAAATTATGAAAAAATCTATAAGGATATAGGTAAAGATTAGAAAATATTACTGTTTTCTGTTTAACTATTTATCTTATGAACAAGCTTGAGCCAATTCTTGTGAACATAATACATACATATAATGAGTGGTTGGGTTTTTTTTTTTCTTAATAGATACTGCTTATACAGAGCATCTCATCAGTATATAAAACATACAAATATAAGCACTTTTTTTAACCTATTGAAGCTGGTGGATGTAGCAGGCCAGCATGCCAGAAACAGCTCTTTATTTTTTCATAGTTTTATCAGAATGGCTTGTTTACACGTATTGTAAAATTTCAATATAGCTCTGTATCTCTTTTTTTTTTTTTATTTTAAGAAAATAGTATAGCTGCAGCACATGAGAAGATTTCTGAATGCAAAAAACAAATCCTGCAAGCAAAAAGGATTCGAAAAAATCGCCAAGGTAAAGAGAAATACCGTTATTTACACTGGTCGGTTTCATTATTTTGTTATCTTTTAAAATACATTGTATCAGAAAATAGATTCCAAAGTTTTGAAAGCACAAGGGAAATATACTGGCATCATGAATATCTAGTCTGGTGGGTTCCACAACCACTACTGAAAGTTTTTGGTGGATGAAGCAGGCAGGGTTCAACCAATAGATCTCAATGACACGCAACATCAGGAAAACCTGAAACAGTAGTTCAGAGAGATGTTTTCAGGCCAAAGAAAAACCCCAAAAGCATCCTGTCACAACTCAGGTGACTTGAGAAGAACTGAGGCACTTTATTAACAGCAAGACAAGGGTTGAATAGACTTACACCCAGCACTGAAGATTATATTCCTTCAGCTCTTAAGGGAAGGTAATGTTTTGGCATACACAAGGACAGTGGTGCCAGTTACACACCCAGCAACTCTGTATCTGTCCTCACTGAATACCTGTTATGAGAAGTGTATTTTTTCCCCTACTATTAAAAGTATGTGCTGATAATTTCAATTGAAACTTAAAGCATTTCGTTGTAATGCTGTCTTATCAAAAGATTAGAAATTGAGAAGTAAGAATGTGCTTTTTCTTGATAAATGAAATGCAAAAAGAAAATGTTTAGAAATATAACAGATAAAAGGCTTGAAATAGAACTGTTTGATCAATTTTGTGGATAATTTTGGTCTCAACTGGAAATTAAAAGAACCTTAACCAATAAGAGTGTAGAGTTCAGACCTATGTTTGTAAAGACAGAAGAAGTGTTTGCTTTTTGATATGTTCTGTCCAGCCTGCAGCAGAGATTTTTCCATGTGAATGAGGCAGTTGACGTATGTACAACCTTACTATCAGGAAATGGCTATGTTAATTGCCTGTATGACCATAATATTGTTCTTAATGTGTAATACAGTTTAAAAAAAATCCTGTTGTTTCTCATGCATGTTTATGTGTAACATCTCATCAGCACCATTATCTGTACATATACATTAGATAGTATCTAAACCAAATGCATACACAAAACCCCAAGTGTGCAGCAGTGCAGAGCTCTCTAAAGGTCCTGTTTTCTGGCCTCATCCTTTACGAATCACTAGCACGGGATAAGTTTGAGTGATTAGATAATGGCCTGCAGTCATATTTGAAGTTTATTTAAAGTCTGTTTTGATGTAATCACCTACTTTGAAATGTTGTAACATGGTATAAATTATATACATTTTTATATTTGGATATTTGCACGTACTTTTTAATATATGCAAGGTGTTATGTACAAATTTGAAAAACGTTAAAACAGTTTTTCAAGGAGAAAGAATCTGTACTATGCTATGGTAGCTAATTTTTGGGTCTTGAATCTATATTTTCAGAATTATTTAGACTAACTATTTAAATTTATTTCAGAATATGATGCATTGGCCAAAGTTATACAACACCATCCAGACAGACATGAAACATTGAAGTGAGTATGAGACTACATTAAATTATAATAAGCCAGTAAGCTGGACGTCACCAGATTTGACATTTCCTTGGTTTCAGTTTGACCTTTCCTCACTTTCCTATAATTTCTTTTGACACAAGAGAAACTTGGGTTTAGTTTTAAAATTGTGCCCTTATCAGCTCTCTTTAATTAATCTCCATCTGTATGGGTACAGAAGCATTGCTTAATCGTTTTGTATTTGAAATTTTTTTTGCAGTGTTAGGGTGAATAAGTGAACTCGGATGTAAATGCAAACCTAATGTCAGTTTACCAGGGATGAGTTTCTCCAGAAAAGAGTGATAAAATTAAAGGGTGTGTGTCAGCAAGAGATTCAGTGACACCAAATATATAACATAGAATCATAGAATGGTTAGAGTTGGCGATAAAATTAAAGGGGGTGTGTCAGCAAGAGATTCAGTAGTGACACCAAATATATAACGTAGAATCATAGAATGGTTAGAGTTGGAAGAGACCTTAAAGATCATCAAGTTCCAACCCCCTGCCATGGGCAGGGACACCTCCCACCAGACCAGGTTGCTCAAAGCCCCAGCCAGCCTGGCTGTACAGACCTCCAGGGATGGGGCATCCACAGCTTCTCTGGGCAACCTGTTCCAGTGTCTCACCACCCTCACAGGAAAGAATTTCTTTCTGGTATCTAACCTAAATCTCCCCTCTTCCAATTTAAAACAGTTATCCCTTGTTCTGTCACTACCCTTCTGACAAAAAGCCCCTAGACATACAAGCAAGGTGGAATAAGGGAAAGCAAAGCCCCTATACATACAAGCAAGGTGGAATAAGGGAAAGCAGGAGAGAAAGCTCCTAGGGTGGTTTTTTTTTTTTATATGTTTTCCTTGTGGTATTTGTTCCTGCATGCCCAGTTATAAATGACTGTGTTCTGTTCTGCAGTATAACTTGCCCTGGCACGCAGGTTAGACCTACCTGTTGTCCAACTCGTCTTGCATGTAACTTACAGCTTTGCTTGTGTCATTGTCGGATTGGGCTCACTACCTGTGCTTTTGGGTGACTTTGGGCAGTTGTGGGGAGATAATCTTTTAACTTCTGTCAATCCACAGAAACATTCCAGGACTCATTGCGTCTATGAGTTTGTTCTTAACCTGATTAAAAATGTAGCGTGGGGTTACTGTTCTTATTTAAGCGCAGCTTGCATCTATCCTGTTGCCCACTTTCAGTGAAATTGGAGAGAGAGGCTGTCTTTTCACATTCCCTGGTCTTTTATAGCGAAAGGATTTTTGATTATATTACCCTAATAATAGCATTTTAGTAGCAATAAGCCTTGTGTGAGAATTTCACACTTTTCTTTCTTGTATGTTGGTTTTTTGCGCCTTGATTTCATTACCACAACTTTGATTATTACACGCAATTCTCATGAGGCTCGACTACTTCTAACTTCATTAGTCAGCATGTGCCATTTATCAAGTGAGGCTTCATAATAGACAATTATCAAAAGTGAAATTTTTCAGATAAGTCAATTGATTAAGAATGGAAACAACTAAATGATAGTAATTTTTTTTCTTAGAGAATGCCAGGTTTTCAGGTTTGGAGGGGTTGTTCTAATTTTGCTTAGCACATCCAAGCATAAGTTTCTTGTGGTAAGTTACAGCTAGTACATTTGGCTTTTTTTCTTTTCTTAAACAATTTTATCATCTCTTTAGGAGCATATATTACAGTTAGAAATACCAGTGTGTTCATCCACTGGAAGAATGGCTACAGCGTATGCCCTTTGTCTGTTGTATCTGTAGTCAAAGACACAGATTTGAACTATAGCACAGTACAATCCCCCATTTTACTATGTCCTATTTCCCCATCTAACAGAATAGAACATTTTCAAAAGGAGCTTGGTCCACGGGTATTTTAGTTTTAACTGACCTCTCCAAGTGAGTAGACTTCAAATAACAGGAACAAGATGAAGTTTTCATCCAATGTCTTAATTACAAGGCTTCTTTTCTCTCCAGTTTGAAGAAAGTAGACAGAAAATGGTACAATGAACCAAGAAGGACCACCCTTTAATCAGAATGGAGAAAGCCTCACTAACAATGTCACGCTTTTCTTGGAAATCTTAATAACTAAAAACACTTGAGAAAACCTCTTGTGAGGAGAAATGTCACGGTTTATTGTGAGAGTTACGTTTACAGCTTTTGCAGGTCATATGGCACAATAGGATAAAGTTCAGAAAAATACTTTCTTTATGCTTTTAAGGTACTGTTTCTTGGAACAACTAGTCATACAGCATAAAAGAAGAGAAGCTGTTATCAGCTTAGTCACAGGTAATGTACAGGAGCCAATTCAGGAAGTGACAGGAGCTGAACTACTAAATGGCATTGCCCACAGTGTAATTAAATGCAGTATCAGAAGAGCTGTTAAGAGGACCAAGAAATGACACTGAGTCTTAGAAAAGATGATGATACAAAAATGAGAAGGCTGGGTGAAGATTCTCTGGAGTGGAAAGTAGAAGACATAAAATTCCAGATGTAGCTTGGATGTTACTAGGAAAAAAAAAAAAAATCACGTCTTCTCACAGTCTACTTATACCTGACAGCACAGTGTAAATAGCAAGATTTGGCCAAATAGAAGTCTTTCAGGAACTAGAACCCAAATTCTAGCAAAATCACTGTATGAGCCTATAAGCTGTTCGTCTGTTTGTGTTATAGGAAAGGATAATGTCACACTCAGCCCTCTTTCAGGCATTCCCTTCAAGGTACCAGGCATACTGGCTCAAAAATAAGACAACGCTCTCAGGTAGCACTAAAATAGACCTTTTTCCCAGCCATCATGAGTTACTGAGGACTGGAGGCCTTCCTGTGGTTCCCTGCCCAGGCCAGTTGCAGCAGCTGTTAGTGCGTCAGTTCTTTCAGGAAAAAAAACAAAACAACACCTTCTATTCCCTTGCTGACCCCTGTGTGGCTCTGCCACCACCTTCTATTCCCTTGCTGACCCCTGTGTGGCTCTGCCTGCTAATTAATCAGGGATGGTCAGCCTCAATCCACTTCACCTTGAAAGAAACAGATTATTCTCATTACATGAAGCATAAATGATGGTAGGCATTAGAGGAAGAGTAGATGGGCCAAATGGGAGGTTTGAGTGTAAGCCCTGATGCTGCATCCTCGTTGGAAAGCTAGTGTACGTGATGGTACCTGTTACTCTTTACTCCTCCTCAAAAAGGATTGTGATTGTCCATGGTGGGTCCAAGTGAGAACACAAAACAATCAAATGCTTGCACAAAGATCCTGAAGAGATGCTGAAAGATTATATATTTCAAAAGGATATGAATAATAATGAAGATTATCAGTGTTGCGTGTTTCCTTTATCTCTTAATGCCAGAGGCTATCAGTTAAAGTCAAAACTGGCATTTGAGAAAGAAATGAGTACTTCTATGGATCACAGTGCTAAATTTTGTGTGCTGGGGCTATAAGCTATATTCTACATATGCCTACAGTAAAGTCTACTTGTTATCCAGTCTGGTTAGGTCATTGTCAGGCATAAAGCACTTGACCGTGTTTGGTCAACTGTTGTGTCTGGGAATTGTTGTGTTTCTATGTTGGGTATGTGGGTAAATCAAATATGCTATGTTTCTATTTAATCTACTCATGTCAACATAAAGAAATCTATGAGGTAGTGAAGCCTGTGAAAATGCCATGGGTGTTTAATGTAACCTACTTCTTTAACTTTCATTGTATGGTTAAGTAAATAACATGTTTGTGGCAGGACTGAATTGTTGCAGTCCAAATGCCTGTAAAACTCCTGAAATCACAAGTTCATGACATAATAGTTTAACATTTATGTCTCTGTCATTTCATTTGTTATGCCTTGTTTACCTGTGTTTATTTAATGGTTCTTTTTCCTCCACTTAGTTCAAATCTATTTTTCAAGAATTCTACAGAACTCTTTAAAACTACTATGACAATTTCTTTTCAGGCAGCTGGAAGCTTTGGGAAAAGAGCTGCAGCATCTTTCTCACATTAAAGAAAATGTTGAGGATAAGGTAGGTTTTTCACAGAGATTATTATATAATTATTTACTAGGAAGATAATTAACGGAGAATCTGCTGTGGGTTGTTTGGCTGTACGTGCTCTCTGTTTGCTAAAATATGTATTTTATCATTCTAGTTGGAGCTGAGAAGAAAGCAGTTTCATGTTCTGCTGAGCACTATCCACGAGCTTCAGCAAACCCTGGAAAGTAAGTGGTGTTCTTAGGTAATATATATATAACTGGGTTTGGTTTCAACAGATCAAAAGGAATCACAGCTTCCAGCAGCGGGCTGGCTTTGTGCAATTTATGTTGGTGACCTCTTGTGTCCGCAGCATTTTTTTTCCCAGTAGTTGTCCAGAGCCTGAGACTGCTCAGAGTTTTTGGGGTTTTTTTGTTCTACAAGCTGGCCACCATGCCTTTTCCTGAATAGCTTCAGATTCATCTGTAGGCAACAGACTTCTTTAAAATGTGAGGATGGAGAATAGCAATTTAAAGTTGGGGTTTTTGCGCATAATTTCCAAAGTCATTTGTCTAATTCCTGTTTCAGTAATTTGAACATGTCACTGCCATCATGGTATCGTTTGAGGCTTTACTAAAAAGCAACTGGAACCCAGGAAAGCTAAATGATTTACCTGCTCAGACAGTGACTCTGTAATGGAGCAGGGACTAAAACTGTCATGCACAGGAGCTAAATTCAGGAATTTAATCACACTCGTCTTTTGTTATACAAATACATAATATTTTCAAATGAGTGCTTACTTCTCGTGCTCTAATATGGATAATATTGTTCTCAGTATTATTTGCTGGCTTTTTGCTGTGTCTTTCCAAGATGGAATAATTGGTCTAGCCTTTGGGCATGACCTGATTAACATACATAGATGGCCATAAGAGCAGACTTTCATTCTCTAAGGCCGTCTAGATCTTCTTAAGCAGAATGAACTGTTAATCCTGGGTGCACTTTAGCAGAAGGTTATTGTTATTATGTGTTACTAACACTTGCTTAAGTATTAGTCTCTAAAATACATTTTCACATGAATGTATAGATTACCTTTCAGCTTCTAGAATTTTGTGAAGTAACATTTTAGTGGAAGGCACAAATAAACCATTAATAAGCGAAGAGAAGGCATGTAATTTGAAGCAATCCAGTACTGTCTGCTTAAATTGATGCTATAGGATTTACCCCATGTTTCCTGTAATAATCGTTACACATAACAGCCTTAAAAACTTTGAAGTTTTTACGAAGGCTGTTTCATTTGAACGTAGCATTTTGTCTAATTTGATACTGAACTACATGTTTAAGGCAATCAACGTAAAATATTTTAAGTGGGACACAGTTCTGCAGTGTAGTTTGTAGATATAACCAAGCATGTTTGACTAATGGTAATATTGAATTATAGATGATGAAAAACTTTCAGAAGCTGAAGAATCTCAAGAAACTCAGCTGGAAACAGAGACCAAACAGTAGAGGAATACTGACTATGCTATTGAAGATGGTCCAAGTGTTTTCACTTTGCATTGAAACAAACAGTAAGAGAGACAGAGCTGAAAAATAGTTTTCTACTGCTTCTGTGAATTTTTATACAAAAATAACTTGTTTTGCTTATGCTTCAGGGGAAAGCAGTTACAGATGTGTGCAGACAGACACTTTGCGTTAACCCACAAACTTTGTAATTTGCGACAATTTTGGTTATTTGGATGAAGCTTCTGCACAGTACTTGTGAACTAAGGTGTTTGTAAAACGTTGTCAATAAAAGGTGTTTACAAAGAGTTTCTTATTTTTAGTAAGGGTTCTTTTACTTACTTGACATTGGACTGAGGGCAAGGTATATTTGCAGGAGTTCCAGCTTCCGTACCGTAGTCCAGATGGGACCCAAAACTGAATGACGTCGTATCCTAATTTTTCAAAGCAGCTGCCGTTTTAGAACTTACCTGTGAATAGACCAGAATTTGCTAGTTTCATATCAAGGGGTGTAAAACAACAAAAATCATACTGTTCTAGCTTTGCTTTTTCCCTTAAGGTGATGCAAAGAACTGCGCTGACCTGAGCCTCAGTATGCTGTGTTCTGTGCAACCACATCAGAAGTCCCACATTTAAAATTGGAATTTTAAAGCTCTGCTCTTGTAGAACCAGGAATCTAATCCTGATACCATTTATAACCTGCTTCTGGATTTAATGTGTCAATTGACTATTATGAAATATATCAGAGTTCCTGAGATAGATGGTGGAAACCTTCCTTCCTCATGACAACAAACCAAAGCAGTAGAGCGGCAATCATCATGTTAAAGAATCTCAGATACTTTTAATATTAAGAGGGAGGGTGGAGCCTATCCCCCTGGACCTTCCCAACAAGAAAAGTGAATATTATAGGGAGGAAGGAATGAGGGGCAGCAGTAGGTCATGTCACTGCCTGTTAGCCATGTTCTAAAAACACCTGTTAAATCACACCTTCCAGTGTTTAGGTGAAGGAACACATTTTGGATCTCGCTCAGGCTGAGTCATAAGCACACGGGGTTAAAGTAAAACAATGAGGTTACATGGAATAGAGCCTCCTCCTCAAACTAGGTGACAGCTGAGGGGGATTTTCAGGATTGTGGAATGTCTGGCTTGGACATCTCTAGTCTAAATGCTGTATAATTCCCACTCTCAGTGGCCGTGGATCTGTGTGCGTTGGGCTGAACAGACATATCTGAGCTTGTTTTGCTCACATTCCAAGTTTGCTGAAGGCAAGCCAGCTGAATGAGAAAGTCCTACAACTTCAGTAGCTCAGTGCAGCCCTGGACTCACAGGCTGTCAAAAGGCTTCTACTTCACAGCTGGTCAACTGGGAACACAGGGGAGGCTCAGGTTTGCCTGGTAGAGCCTGTGGAGACATGCACTGCCGCTCGTGCACTGCAAATTCTGCAGATGGGGGGCAGGTAGTAAGCAAACAAATGGGATTTAATATGACAAGTACACTGTCAAAAAGTATTTACTGTTCTGTGTTTTCTTTCCCCCCTCCTAACAACAGTGAATGGTAAAATATTTTGTAAAGCAGCAATACTAAATTATTGCCAAATCAGGGAGGAGTCACTTTCATGAATGTATGAGTTCTGAAGATCCTAAATGACAAAGTCTCAAGACACTTTTAAAGCTTATTAACTTTTTGTGCTTGAAAGACCCCCCCATGAGCTACCTGGATTGTATTTTGGTGCAGAGGTGGACATTTACCAGCTAAAAACGGTCTCTGTAACAGCCTTGTTAGGAAAACCTCAGATTTTTCCATTCATTGTTTCATTTCTTTGGAAATTACTCGGATTACTCAAGTATCTTAGCTCAGAACTTGTGCTGCCTGTGTAGAACCTGGCCAGGAACGTGCCAGTGCACAAGTCTTGTCCCTCTGGTAAGGGATACACGTGCAGAAACAGAAGTTGTACGGGAGAGAAGCCGTACAAACGCCCGGCAAAGTGAGGAGTGTGCTCGAGCTGGAATCACAGTGATGCCATCTTGAACAGCAATTACTGCCCCAGACAACTGATTTGTCCCAGCACAACGTGGCTGCGAGAGGGTGATGTCACCACACTGCCTTGGGGAGCAACCCCCCCAAAAAAGTGACATTGCAAATCCAGCCTCAGCGGGACATCCAAAATCTCTGCTCTGTTTTTCCTGGGTATTGATACCTCCAACCTCTTGAACATCAGATTTGTACCAAATGAGAAACAAACCCAAATGACACTCTAATACCAGGCAACGTTTAACCTGCTCAGTTATTAAGCCTCAAGTTCCACGTTCACATTCGCTCTGCTTATGTTGGAAATAGACACTTCCACCCCTTTATTCTTCTGCTGAAGTTCTATTTCCAAGGCACAGATGATATTCACCATGTCATCCCTGCCTGGAGAGCAGTCCTGCTACGATGCTGCTTGCCTGCACAAAGACTTATGAGGTAGAACGTACTAATCATTTTAGATACTTGTCATGTAAGTTCTCCAGCTGCCCCAGCTGACTTCTACCATCCTTTCACCCACTCCTTTACTCAAGTCTCAAGGGGTTCTCCTTTTTTTGTGAGTTTAAAAAAAAAATAAATGGAAAAAAGGAAAGACATTCAGAAATACAGGCGAGTACTGTTAGTTTTGCTCTGGGAACCTGTGATTTTTATTTTCTAGCATACGTGGATTAGGGAAATGCCATACTATTTTATGAACCACTTAAATTTAGATACACAACAGACCCCAGGGAATGCAAGTTAGCAGCAGAGCAGCGCTCCACCTCTTCGTGCTTCATCCTCATTGTCAAACATGTTCTTGGGTTACCTCAGCCTTCATTTCCCAAGTCTATTTTAATAAAGGTTATTATCTGTGTTGCAGAAGTCCCGAGAAGCACCACCTGCAGCCCAGGGCCCGCCTGTTGCTAGGCACTGAGCACAGGCAGAACAAAAACGCTGTTCCTGTCCCCCCTGTGCCACCACAACAGCCAGGAGGCAAAGCCAGGCTGGGAGCAGAGGGTCTGGAGTGGGGTATGTGCCCCAGCCTGCCTGGAGACACCCCGGTGTCCACCCTGCCCCGGTGGCATCCGCTTGCCCATGGGCAGGGGGCATGAAGCCAGCAGGAAGGCACTGGGGGAATGGGACCACCAGGGCTGGGACCTGACGTGTCCCCACCAACGGGGCTCAGCATCCTCACGTCGAGGAGCTTCCTGGGTGCTCAAGAGTCATCCTACAGCCAGGGACACAGCATGGTGTGATCTTTGTCCAGGTTAGCAGAGTCCTGGAGGGAAGGACAAGGGGCCTTACGCCTCTGCAGGGCAGAATGATGGAGGACTTGTTTCACAGAAGGAACTCTAGGCCTGTCCTCACCAGAAGCAGAGCTGGTTGTGTTGGGCAGTGGCTGCTGGTGTTGCCGGCTGAATGGCAGGAGCTGGTATTCACTGAGGAACCCAGGAGGAAGGAACTCTGAAGCAAACTTGTTTTTCTACATCTGTTGGGTTGTGTTTGGCATAGCTTTTTGTGCAGGGCCCCACGTTGGGATCACACAGACTGCTGCAGCTCCTGGGCAAGCTGGGGCTGCCGGAGGGGTGATGCCCTGGCTCCCGCCACCCCAGGGCTGGGCTCTGGGTGCTCACCCACAACCCCACGGCCCTGGGTGCTCACCCACAACTCCCAAACCCACTCCCAAAATGATTCACCTCTGGCAGACCAGCCCCAGCCCCAGCCCGGCAGAGGCAGGAGGAGATAGGGACCGTTTCCATTCCGCCCCACCGCCTCTAAATGCCAAATTCCCTCATTTTCACCGGCACAAAGCTACCTGCAGAGATTCCACGCCCCCCACCCGTGTTTAACACACCGTCCTCCCCACGGCATCCCACACACGGACCGCCCCCCGCCCCCCCCACGGGTCACCGAGCTCCGGGCAGGCGGTTGCCGGTCCGGCCGGCAGGGGGCAGCAGAGGCCGCCGCCGCCGCTCGCCGGTACCGGCCCCGGTGTCCGCTCCCAGAGCCCCCCCGGCTGGAGCATCACCGTCCCCGGGATCGGAAGGGACCTCTGGAGATCATCTCCTCCAACCCCAACCACCCTCCCGGCCAAAGCTGGGTCACCCCGAGCAGGCTGGACAGGAACGCATCCAGCACGGGTTGGAATTTCTCCAGAGAAGGAGCCCCCGCAGCCCCTCTGGGCAGCCCTTCCCACTGCTCTGACACCCTCAAAGAAGTTTTTCCTTATGTCCAGACAGAATTTCCCGTGTTCCAGGTTGTGCCCATCAGCCCTTGCCCTGTCGCTGGGCACCACTGAAAAACCACCCTCCCGGCCAAAGCTGGGTCACCCCGAGCAGGCTGGACAGGAACGCATCCAGCACGGGTTGGAATTTCTCCAGAGAAGGAGCCCCCGCAGCCCCTCTGGGCAGCCCTTCCCACTGCTCTGACACCCTCAAAGAAGTTTTTCCTTATGTCCAGACAGAATTTCCCGTGTTCCAGGTTGTGCCCATCAGCCCTTGCCCTGTCGCTGGGCACCACTGAAAAGAGTCTGACCCCATCCTCTTGGCATCCACTCTTTAGATGTTACTAAGCATTGAGGACATCCCCTTTCAGTCTTCTCCAGGCCAAACAGACCCATGTTTCTCATCCTTTCCTCATAAGAGAGATGGTCTAGTGCCTTGATCGTCTTTGCAGCACTCCTCTGGACTCTCTCCAGCAGTTCCCTGTCCTTCTTAAAATGGGGAGCCCAGAACTGGACACAGTACTCCAGATGTGGCCTCACCAGGGCAGAGCAGAGGAGGAGGATGACCTCCCTCGACCTGCTGGCCACACTCTTTTAATGCACTCCAGGACACCATTGGCTTTCTTGGCCACAGGGGCACATTGCTGGCTTGTGGTTAATTTGTCCACATCCTTTTAAAACACTTTTTTAAAATTTAGGTTTCAATTTTCCATGCACAGACAGCTCCACCGGTGTCTGGAGTGGTTAAAAGCCACAGAAGGTTTTCTCTGCTTACCCACCCACCATGCTTGGTTTTCAGTGTCCCACCTGAAGCACCCTGGTTCTCAAAGCCTCTCCTAAATTGCCCCCAAATACATAAAACACTGCCAAGGAGCAAAAGGTGCAACACTGAGACCTTTGCCCTTTGTAGCACCCTGTGATGTGACACAAGCTGACAGTAACCAACATTTAATTTTCCTACTGATGTTAAAGAGCAGACACCAAACCTTCTGCGCTGCCTCTCCTCCCACCTGAAAAGGGGGAGAGAAGGGCCTGACAGTCCTCACAGCAGGGATCAAACACCCTCTGGTCCTGTCTCCC